GAAACACACAACTAAAAGATGTAGGGTGCCTGGGTGGCTCAGTCATTAAGCATCTGCCTTCAGCTCAGGTCATGGTCCTAAGGTCCTGGGTTCAAGCCCCACATCGGGCTTCCTGCTGCGCAGGAAGCCTGCTTCTCCCTCTCCCACTCTCCCGGCTTTGTTCCCTCTCTCACTGTCTCTCTCTCTCTGTCAAATAAATAAAATCTTAAAAAAAAAAAGAAACTAAAAGATGTAAAATAAGGCATCCCACTTTTTATACTCACACACATACCAAATTTATATCCATCCTGGGACAGCAATAGAATGGAGAAGAACCCCCAGTACTTTGCACCCCCATGGAGACAAAAATGGACCAAATTACCTTTTAGATGGCTCCAGAAGCCAGTTAGGAGAACACAGGACCCCGAGGTAAGTACAAATGAACAAGAGACATCGAAGAGACAAGGAAAGTTTGTGACACTTGCGCACAACCCTGTTCACCCTCTCTGACACTCCACAGCAACACAGAGAAAAGTCCTACCTCTCCTCAGGAGAGAAACAAATGAGCGACCTGTAGCTTCAGTGACCTAGCCAGGTCCTTTTCACCTGCCTGACATGGAAAACAGCTGGAATGAGAGCACCCTCTGGATGCAGTGTGCTGGCTGCTCAGACAGAAGGTTAAGCACTTGCTCAACAATGAAGAGACTACAGAGCTTAAGGCAAAGAGAGAGGAAGGTATCATGCGTTCTAGAGTAGTAGTAACTGCTCTTTCTTAAACTGGGAAATTACACAAAGGCAGACATGACAAATGCCTAGAACATGTGTGGCAGAACCCAGAATTGCTTTTATTTGTGTACTCGTCAAGAATCCAAGTCCATAATCCTGGGCCCACAGGCCCGAAAAAACCACACAAAGATCAGAAGGCATATGAAGAAATAGGAAAATATGTTCCAATTAGAGAAACAAAATCAGTCTCCAAAACTGCCCTATGTTAATAAAGAGCCATACGTTGCCGAAAATATATATATATATTTTGTCTGTCAAAGAATTCAAATTACCATCATAAAGATGCTCAGGGAGGAAGAAGAGCAAATAGATAGGTAACTACATGTTATCAGGAAAACTATGCATGACCGAAACGTAAACCCAATGAGACAGAAAGTATAACATCCATGGACCAGAAACTGGGAGCTGAAGAGTACAATTACTGAATTTAAAAATACACTAAGGGATCAGCAACAGACTTGATGAAGCAGAACAAAGAATCAGATCTCTTAAAGTCACCTTTTCTAAATTCTCTACTGAGAGGAGCCAAGAAATATGTGAAAAGGATGGAGTCTAAGGGACTCATGGGACCCCGACAAGTGGTCCAATATGCACATTAAGGGGACCTCATAAGGAGAGGAGAGTGACCTATGTGGAAAAAAGACACAAATTCAAGCTCAGTAAATTCTAAGTAGGATAAATGTCAAGACATGAACCCAGTGACACGTTGTAATTAACCTAGCAAATACAGGTGAAGAGAGACTTTTGAAACAGCATGACAAATGCAACTTATCTTGTACAAGAGAGCTCCTAGGAAATTTAGTAGTGGGATTCTCAGCAAACCCAATATGAAGAGGGGCATGGCATAATGTACTCAGGTACTGAAGGATGAAAAAATAGCCACCAAGAATACTTTACCTGGCAAAACTGCTTTCCACAGATGTAGAAATGAAGACTTTCCCAAGTAAAATCCCCTCTAAGTTTACCAGCAGGCCTGTCCTACAAGAAACGTTAAAGGAACACTCTCTAGATGAAATAAAAGGATTCTACAAAGTAACTGAAACGACATGAGAACATAAAGCTCTCTGCTAAACATACTTAGACACTTATACAAACCTGTAGTGTTGTAATTCGATACCACTCATGTTTATTTCTGCTACGGAATAATGTTTTTAAAAAAAGTATAGGGCGCCTGGGTGGCTCAGTTGGTTAAGCGACTGCCTTCGGCTCAGGTCATGGTCCTGGAGTCCCGGGATCGAGTCCCACATCGAGCTCCCTGCTCAGCAGGGAGTCTGCTTCTCCCTCTGACCCTCTTCCCTCTTGTGCTCTCTGTCTCTCATTCTCTCCCTCTCAAATAAATAAATAAAATCTTAAAAAAAAAAATTTGTAAAAAAAGTATAAAAATCTCAGGGTAGGAAATAAAGTACACAACATAAAAATTTATGATATCGGTAACAAAGTGGGTGCAGGGGTGGACATAGGAAGAAGAGTTTTGTATGCAAGTGACAATATGAGTTTTAAATGTTTTTTTTTAACTCTAAGTTGTGTTAAGGAATTGCCAAGGTAAGCACAATGAAAATACTCACAGAAGACACAAAAGTTAATGAGAAAGGTACCAAGGCATATCATGGGCATAACACAAGTAAGGATAAAATATAATACCAAAACCTGATAAGAGATATAAATGTTTCAAAATTACTTTGAATTCAAAAAAGTCTTTCTCTCATGCAAAGAGAATAAAAATTCACCAACAAGGGCGCCTGGGTGGCTCAGTTGGTTAGGCGACTGCCTTCGGCTCAGGTCATGATCCTGGAGTCCCGGGATCGAGTCCCGCATCGGGCTCCCTGCTCAGCAGGGAGTCTGCTTCTCCCTCTGACCCTCTTCCCTCTCGTGCTCTGTCTCTCATTCTTTCTCAAATAAATAAATAAAATCTTTAAAAAAAAATTCACCAACAAATACATGATGAAATTAATTCTGTTTGTGACAGCTCACCTAGACACAATAAACATTCACTGACCACACACCAAGGAGACAAACAGTAGGAGTCATAAACAGAGTATGTATGTGTGATATACAAATACAAGACAAATACACACAATTTTATGGCAAAAAGCTTTATGGCAAAAAGCAGAAAGCTCATTCTTTTGAGTTATACTCACATGGTCTTGAAATGGACTGCGTTGAGAATTCTCCTAAAACAAAATACACAGGTAAAACCCAATCCACAACTAACTAATGTTGTGGAATGTCCCAGACAAACGGGCACATTATTATGGAATTACTGAACCAGAATAAGATAAAATTTAACCCAAGAAATTCTAAATAAAAAATTGACGTATTACATAAAAGAAAAACATCTATATAACTATAATTTAAACTGTGTTCATATCATGAAAAATAAGCATTTGATTGGCATGTCTTCATTGACCATAAAATTGTAATTATTCATTAAAATCATTAAAAGCTGTAAATGAAAATTTTATCAACACTTAAAAAGCTTGAAAGAAATGTATTTCGTTATTAATATATTCCTGCTCCTACACAGAATGTAAGGCTATAATCCACTCTTTAAGACAGAGGACACAGGGTGCCTGGGTGGCTCAGTTGGTTAAGCGACTGCCTTTGGCTCAGGTCATGATCCTGGAGTCCAGGGATCGAGTCCCACATCGGGCTCCCTGCTCAGCAGGGAGTCTGCTTCTCCCTCTGACCCCCTTCCCTCTCGTGCTATCATTCTCTCTCTCTCAAATAAATAAATAAAATCTTTAAAAAAAAAAAAAAAAGACAGAGGACACAAACAACATCTTCATTTCTAAATAAACAAACATCACGAAAGTTGTAAAATATGCTGACAAGACACTGTATCTGAAATTAATACTTGGGATTAAATTCTGATACATTCTTTTTTTTTTTTTTAAGATTTTATTTACTTATTCATAAGAGACAGAGAGAGAGAGAGGCAGAGGGAGAAGCAGGCTCCCCGCTGAGCAGGGAGCCCATGCGGGACTCGATCCCAGGACCCTGGAATCATGACCTGAGCAGAAGGCAGACGCTTAACCATCTGAGCCACCCAGGCACCCTAACTTCTGATACATTTTGAGGAAAGTAGAAGAAAAGCCTAATCATTAAATTCCCATGAAGTAAAATTACATTACTGAACAAAAGGATTTTTGAAATATGGGGGTTTGGGGTGCCTGGGTGGCTCAGTCAGTTAAGCGTCTGCTTTCCGCTCAGGTCAGGAACTCAGGGTCCTGGGATCCAGCTGCACATCGGGCTCCCTGCTCAGCAGGGAGTCTGCTTCTCCCTCTCCTTTTGCCCTTCCCCTGCTCATTCTCTCTCTCTCTCTCTCTCTCTCTCTCTATCTCTCTCTGTCTCGCACAAATAAATCTTTTAAAAATCTCATATTAACTAATTAGAAATTGAAAACACACGACAAAGTCACAAGAACTTCTTATAACACAGAATTATAAAATGATGTGATTATTAAAAAATAAGGTAATCATTGAAACTTTATTAAAGGCTACAAGTTCTGAGTTCTAAATGTGCTAGTTCCACAGTAGCTTTATTTATGTAGGAATTCTAGGAAACAAATAGAGACATTACATTATTTCACCATTGAGGAATGGAACTCATAGAGTGGAAACCTCTACATTAGTTAATATGAAAAAGAATGAACTTTTGAAGGGAAATAAAAGAGTACATTTTCTCATTTTAGGGAGGTGCTTTGTTATCTGATGAAGTTACTGAGTCTCAATTTTACAAGATTAAGATTAAAGCCTCCGTAACATCGGAAAGCGTAAACCAGAAAACATTAGAAATCTGCCTCCAGTGTTCCAGGAATTTCTCCACCAAACCCCAATGTGCATACAACTACCCTGGCTTACTCCTCCCATGAGGAAAAATAGAGTTTACCAAGGGCTTAGCATGGAGTTCTCAGAAATAGGATGATTTTCCCAGGGCCCTCACAGCTGTGGAGAAGCTCGCAGACTATGGAGGCCCTCCCACTCCCAGGAGAGTCCCCTGGCCCTCCCTGTGGATGTGACGGACCATCACTGGAGCGGAAGGAGAATCCCTAGAGAATGTAAGAGCTTGATAATGTTGGATAGCAGATGTCCCTCTGTGAGAGAGAGAGAAATAAAACTGGGCGTCTCCAGCTGATTTTCATTCAAGGAGAGCTACTCGAACCACACCTTAAGGTCCACCTTCCTCCTTCAACTTGGACCTCCCCCCTGTCATCTGCCTCATCCATTCCCACCTACCTGGATGGAAGGCCACAGTCTCCTTTCTCTTCACGTCCCAGAGCTGCTTCTCTTGCTCCAAAAACATCATCAGGTCTGGCTTTGACAGAACGAGACCTGTTTATAAGGAAAAAGGAAAATGAGTATTGCTGTAGATTCTAACTTTCCATCAGGATTGTGTTCAGTACAGAAAAGAGGACATTGTAGAATTCTAGAAAATGGTTTCCCAAAAGCTGTTGCCCAACAGGCCCTTTAGAACACACAGGAGGGGCGCCTGGGTGGCTCATTCGTTAAGCGTCTGCCTTCGGGCGCAAGTCACGATCCCAGGGTCGTGGGATCGAGCCCTGCATCGGGCTCCCTGCTCAGCGGGAAGCCTGTTTCTCCCTCTCCCTCTCCCTCTCCCCCTGCTTGCGTTCCTGTTCTCGCTGTGTCTGTCTCTGTCAAATAAATAAGTAAAATCTTTAGAAAAAAAAAAAAAGCCGGCGTGTTAACATAATAAAAAATTTAAAGAAAAAAAAATTTAAAAAAACAATACACAGGAGAAATTTCCAATGTTCACATCCTAATCTCTACTTCCAAGTAGAAGACATAAGAACTGGAAATGTCAGTTTAAGATGTGAGCAGTATCATTCTATGCCACTAAGTGTTTAGAACTGCCACTCATCTACAGAAGTGATGATGTTACCTTGAGGAAGGGGAAGCTAAGACTGAAAAGGACACATCGTGAAGGTGTTTCTCTACATCTATAAACCCCTACTTATTTCCCTTTCTGCCTCGATCTGAATTCCAGTCATTCAAAGAGGAATCATCCAAGAGACAGTCTTCAAAGGAAGGAACAAAACCCTGAGTGTGGTCTGGGAAATCTGGAAGGAGTCATCCTCACCCAGGAAGAGGAGGTGTCCGTAGTTCTCTAACATCACATCCCTGTACAGTTGCCGCTGAGTGTGGGTCAGGCATCCCCACTCCTCCTGGGAGAACTCTATGGCCACATCCCTGAATGTCAGCAGTGCCTGCAATAAACACCACAGTGACCGAGTGCCCACTGGTAGGGTTCACAATGGTCCCTAAGATGAAAGAGGCAGTTAGTGTCACCACCTAGAACCAGACCTGACCTTTCCTGCTCTGTGACGTGAGCGCGGAGTAAAAGAAAAACCTGCGGGATGGCGGGCTGACCGATGGGAAAGTCTCGCTCCCAGAAGTCAACTGTATCAACTACACAGAGGTGAGCGCCCTCCTCGTCAGTGCAAACTGTTGGGATGTGGGAACGGAGCCAAAGGTGAAGAAAGAATTCTTGAGATGTTTCTGATGGAAATGTTGGGGTTCAGGAATGAATGATGAAGAAAGAATTGTTGAGATAGCGTGGTGCAAAAAACGGAGTCTTAAGGTTCGGGGAGAGGACCTGTGGGTAGAAAGAGCTGAAGTGAAGTTGTGAGCAGTGACTGATCATATGCTTTCAAGTGCAGAGGGGGCGAGGGATAGCACAAGGCTCTCAGGAATTTGGAAGCAAGTCTCCAGGACCATGAGGGCCTAGCTGGTGTTATGAGGAGGTCACCTACTGTCTAGTAACACTTTAGTCAAGAGACCCTTCAGATACTTTTCAGTGGGCCATATGCTTGAAGGAGGATGGCCAACATCTATTGGGTGGTAAAGATAGAGGACATCTCCAAAGGGACTTTCCTATGTTAAAGAGAAATGACAGGATCCTGGAGGTCTGGCTATTGTCAAGCTAAGGCTGTTTTTTGCTTCCAACAAAACATTAACACTGAGGCACTTGTGAATTCCTGAGAAATGTCATCCTCCGCCTATCTCTGGTATTTATCAACGGATTGGAAGTTGAAGGAAATTTAATTTTGTCCACCCTTCTTTTGACTTTGTTCTCCTCATCAGAAACTACAAGGAAGGGGCACCTGGACGGCTCAGCTGACCAAGGGTCTCTCTTCAGCTCGGGTCATGATCCCAGGCTCCTGGGACTGAGCCCTGAGTTCGGCTCCCCACTCAGTGCGGAATCTGCTTCTCCCTCTTCCCCCTTTGGTCATCCCTGTGCTCTCTCGCTCTCTCAAAATGAAAATGTTTTCTAGCGAGAAAAACAGAAGTTTACATCTGAAATGTAATAGTTTTATGCATGTTGCTCAGTATATTTTGTTCCTTACAAATGACAAGAGGGAAAATATGAACATTACAGGGGAGGAATCTGGCAGAGACCACCAAGCCAGTAAAAGAAGTTAACAGCAGCTGCATGGAAAGAAATTGGTATCGGTCCCTAAGGCACATCAAGGACACACCATCACTGGTATTTTCCTGTGGTCTGAAAACAGTAGTTCAGAATATCATCTAATTATGAAAATACAATGGAGATATATATATATATACACACACTCCGATCACCTATAGTTTCTGTACAGGCTGCTTTTAGGCAAGCGGGCTTGAGCAAAGGAATGGAGAAAGGGCCCACAGCGACCCCTTGGCTGAGTCCAGACGGGCCCAACAGGGGACCCACCTCACAACAGCCACAGGCCCTAACCAACCAATGGGCTTCTGACAACCGGGGACATAGACCAAAAAAGGGGAAAGTTCCAAATGTCGCCATAACTCCTCACCTTCCCTTTTTAAGAAAACCCCCCACCCACTGCTCCTTGCAGACAGCCTATCCTCTGCTCTCCTGCCTGGTGCTCTTTTGCAGTGTATTCAATAAACTTCTATAGCCTTTGTTCGGCCTCAGGTGAATTCTTTTCAGTGCCCACTTGACTGGCTTCCACCCATTGACCCACGTTTGGGGCTCCCATCTGACTGACTGAGACACCACAAAGTCCATGTGCTGTAATAGCTAGTTTATTCCATTTTTTTATTTTAATTTTTAAAGATTTATTTATATATTTTTTTAAGACTGTATTTATTGAAACGCCTGGGTGACTCAGTTGGGCATCAGCCTTTGGCTCAGGCCATGATCCCAATGTCCTGGGATCACATCCTGCATGGGGACCCTTACTCAGCAGGGAGCCTGCTTCTCCCTCTGCCTGCAGTTCCCCCTGCTTGTGCTCGCTCTTTTTCTGACAAAGAAATTAAATTAAAAAAAAAGATTGTATTTTTTTATGTGAAAGAGAGAGAAAACACAAGGAGGCAGAGCGGCAGGCGGAAGGAGAGGGAGAAGCAGGCTCCCCACCCATCGGGGAGCCGATGTGGGGCTCGATCCCAGAATCCTGAGATCACGACCTGAGCTCAAGGCAGAAGGCGGACTCTTAAACGATCGAGCCACCCTGGGGCCCAAGACTTTTTTTCTATTTTAGAGGAGATGGGGAGGGGCAGGAGAGGGAGAAAGAATCTCAAGCGGACTCCCCTCTGAGCACAGCGCCAGAAGCGGGATACCGTTCTAGGACCCCGAGATCCCGACCTGAGCTGAAATCAACAGTCCAAGCTTAGCCAACTGAGACAGCGGGGGAACCTCTAGTGCATTTGAACAGAATACCTTTTTCACATTCTAAAGACCAAGACTCTCCCACCCCCTTTTTTAGAATGAGAACTTTCCAAGTTATTCTGGACCTCATACCCATCTGGTATGGTATATTGGTGCATTTTCTTATTGCTGGGCTACAGAGAGCTGATCAAGCATCCGGACGGGACCTAAATGAGAAATGTTTTCCCTCCCTGATGGCCCAGGACCAGACCTCATCAACAACGGGAATGTTGGACTCAAAGCCGTCCCCTCTGGGTCTGCCACCAAGGGAGTATTTTCAATACTTGCAGGACTTTAATCCAAGGTAACAACTGTTGATGCCCTCCTGGAAGCCAGGTTGGAGACACAGGAGAGAAGGCTCTGGGAATATAGAGTATTCTAAAGACCTAACCTTGAGTATCACTTCTGAAAAGATCTTAAAAATAGGTGAAAACATAAGGGAGAAACATCAAACTAGAGGAATCAACATTTGACATTTCTCTTTCTTTTTTTAGTAACACATAATGTATTATTTGTTTCAGAGGTACAGGTCTGTGATTCATCAGTCTTACACAATTCACAGCGCTCACCATAGCACATACCCTCCCCAGTGTCCATCACTCAGCCACCCCATACCATTTGGAAATTTCTAAATGCAAGGAATCTAAGGAGAAAAAGATGACATAGCCTTTCCTGGGACACCAGGCTTACCTGAGAACTGGTCATTTCTTCTTTCACCTCAACCTCTAGATTTCTTTCTCACAAGATGTTTGTGGAGAAATCACAGCCGCATCAGGAGAAAAATCCCCTTAAAACCGCCTAAAGAGCTTCCTCACCTGATACTGCTAACCTGCAGACAGGACTTTGAAATGCAGAAAAGGCCTAACTTCCTAGTCCTTTGTGTCAGGAGCTATTCAGAAACTGTGAGCACCTACTTGGGAACCAATCCCTGACTTTTCCTTAACTGCTTTCCGGGGGCGGGGTGGGGAGGGAGCATTCCCTCCCACAGCCCCCACAAATTCAGCTACAGCCTAGGAACCTTGTACTGCATGAACCTAAGCCTCCCTGGCTCACGTAGCAGAGACCCTGTTAACCTCTCCTTGAGCCAAAGCCTGCTCTCAATGCTCATAAAATAACCTGAAGCCCTCGTGTTTAACCCTGGCCTCACTTAGAATCACCTGGAGCCCTTAATGAATACAACACAGGTGTTTTCGCCCAAAGCAACGGACAGAATCTGAGCTGAGGCCACTAGCGATGATCCTTTTTTGAAACTCCACAGGTGGTTCTACTGGGAAGTAGCTGGGGAGGTGACCACGCCCAGCACAGCCATGCCTTCCCCACTGATCAGACTTTCTGGAGATTAACACATTCTCCCTCTTTCTGCTACACAGAGGGAGACTCCTTACAAATGGAGCTTTCCCTTATAAACGCAAATATCTCTTTGGAAAGTAAACACGATTTCAGAGTCGTTCCTTTATCTGCCTTTTACTTAAAATAACCAGCCTAAAATAATGCTTAGGCCAAAGAGACATATTTTAGGTTTTCCAAAATGATTGTACTCTTTACCGTCTCATCAGCGATATAGGAGAATTCTAATTCTCAACATTCCCAGGAAAATTTGGTTTTATCCTTTTTCTTTATTTCACCCATTCTAGAAAACATTGAGTGGTTTCTCACCATAAAATATGAAGTGTTCTTAAAACAGTTGTCCTGGTGACTGAAATGAAAACCACTTTAAAGCATCAAGTTTAACAAGGAAAAAAGCGGCTAGGTTAATGCTTCAGCAAGACGCCGTTTCAACTAAGTAACCTTTCTCTTCTCCTCCACAAACCTCTTCTCCTCACTTCTCAGGTCTTTGTTTCGGGAACCTGGTTCCACCCTGACAACGTGATTGAACAGGGCTGGCAGCGACACAGTTCCTGTGGAAACGGGCTAGATCCTGCATTTCCCTACAAAACCCCAGCCCCTTCCTCTGGGTGGGCTTGCAGTTTCCGAAGACCCTGACCTGCTGCAGCCTCCTTTGGTGACAAAGCAATAAAACTATTGTTCCTCTTTATCCCCCGCTCTGGGTTCCTGTTATATTCTGGGTCTGAAGCAGGGAGGTCAGTTTATACAACAGAATGAATGTTAGGAGAGGAACCCATGTTTTCCTCACTCCATTCTCAATTCTTTGGGCTGTCTAATAATTAAAATGATATGAAACAGATTCACAAGAGAAAAAAAAATAATTTCTTAATTATGGGAACCTGAAAGACCTGAGGCTCAAAGACAGGCGATTGAAGCTTCCATGCCACCGTGACTTAAGATGACGTAGGGATTTGCAATTTGAAAACAGGGGCCATATATTCATAGGAGAATGGGAAGAGGAAATCTAATCAAACAATGCTTTGCCCCTCCAGGCAGGCAACTCTTGATATAAAAAGTTAATCTCTGGTATCAGCTCTCTCCCTGATATAGGTCCCCCATCTAATTGATTCTTGGTGTATATATCATCCTGAAAACAGAAGGCAATAATTCCATTGCAGCCACAGAACAAACCCAGGAGACATTTTTTTTAAAGCCATATTGAAGCCCTGCCTGGGCCCCTCTGGCCATCTTTGTAGTCCTTAAATTTCAGAGTGCACATCTAGCCTGTGTGAGTGATGAACGATACCGTCCTTTGTACATTTATACATCATGAATTGTTTCCTAGAAGGACTGGTAATCACACCTTCTGTGTGAAGCACCCATGACCAACCTCCAAGCACCTCCATGACGTCTGTAGGTGGCACCAGTGAGTCTGCAGGCAATCAAGAAGTGTTTCAGACTGGCCTGCTCT